CAACACACACCTCCTCACTGCAGCTTCGCCAACACACACCTCCTCACAGCAGCTTCACCAACACACACCTCCTCACAGCAGCTTCACCAACACACACCTCCTCACAGCAGCTTCACCAACACACACCTCCTCACAGCAGCTTTACCAACACACACCTCCTCACAGCAGCTTCACCAACACACACAGATAAAGCGTTGTGAATTCCGGCTCGCGTACCCCGAAGTGATAAAATAAAACAAAATTCTGTATCAAAATTTATAGGCAAGAAAAGTAGTTTGTTTAGGCTGGGTTGTATGAATTACAAATCTGCGCACATATTTTAAAAAGCACATAACTATAGAATTCTGAATGAGGATGTGAACGCCGTCAGCGTTAATCACAGGTTCGCGTTTAAAGTCTGATCATTTCGACGGAGGTGAATCAATCAAAGTTAACTTTAGCTGGAAGTAACATTATTCAAGAACCGCTATAACGCCAAAACAATCTGTGACCTTAAATTATATGTTTATCTCTGTAAAGCTGCTTTGAAACAATCCATTGTTAAAAGCGCTATATAAATGAAGATGACTTGACTTGACTTGACACCTCCTCACAGCAGCTTCACCAACACACACCTCCTCACAGCAGCTTCGCCAACACACACCTCCTCACTGCAGCTTCGCCAACACACACCTCCTCACAGCAGCTTCACCAACACACACCTCCTCACAGCAGCTTCACCAACACACACCTCCTCACTGCAGCTTCACCAACACACACCTCCTCACAGCAGCTTCACCAACACACACCTCCTCACAGCAGCTTTACCAACACACACCTCCTCACAGCAGCTTCACCAACACACACCTCCTCACAGCAGCTTCACCAACACACACCTCCTCACAGCAGCTTCACCAACACACACCTCCTCACAGCAGCTTCACCAACACACACCTCCTCACAGCAGCTTCACCAACACACACCTCCTCACAGCAGCTTCACCAACATACACCTCCTCACAGCAGCTTCACCAACACACACCTCCTCACTGCAGCTTCGCCAACACACACCTCCTCACAGCAGCTTCACCAACACACACCTCCTCACAGCAGCTTCACCAACACACACCTCCTCACAGCAGCTTTACCAACACACACCTCCTCACAGCAGCTTCACCAACACACACCTCCTCACAGCAGCTTCACCAACACACACCTCCTCACAGCAGCTTCACCAACACACACCTCCTCACAGCAGCTTCACCAACACACACCTCCTCACAGCAGCTTCACCAACACACACCTCCTCACAGCAGCTTCACCAACATACACCTCCTCACAGCAGCTTCACCAACACACACCTCCTCACTGCAGCTTCGCCAACACACACCTCCTCACAGCAGCTTCACCAACACACACCTCCTCACAGCAGCTTCACCAACATACACCTCCTCACAGCAGCTCCACCAACACACACCTCCTCACAGCAGCTTCACCAACACACACCTCCTCACAGCAGCTTCACCAACACACACCTCCTCACAGCAGCTCCACCAACACACACCTCCTCACAGCAGCTTCACCAACACACACCTCCTCACTGCAGCTTCACCAACACACACCTCCTCACAGCAGCTTCACCAACACTCACCTCCTCACAGCAGCTTCACCAACACACACCTCCTCACTGCAGCTTCACCAACACACACCTCCTCACAGCAGCTTCACCAACACACACCTCCTCACAGCAGCTTCACCAACACACACCTCCTCACAGCAGCTTCACCAACACACACCTCCTCACTGCAGCTTCACCAACACACACCTCCTCACAGCAGCTTCACCAACACACACCTCCTCACTGCAGCTTTACAGTGATAACAGGAGATTACAGTAACAGAGATTGTTTAGGCTTTACAGCAGCTCTAGAATAAAGTTATTGTCCAGATAAAGTTAGTTTTGATTGATTCACTTCCGTTGTAAAGATAATTAGTTATTAACTTAGCGGCCGCTAACACAACACCGTTCTAACAGAACACAGAAACTTTTAATGTGTTTTTAAAAAGAAAAAAAAAGTTATCTCCTAACTGTGATTTTGTATATGTACAGGTCCTTCTCAAAAAATTAGCATATTGTGATAAAGTTCATTATTTTCCATAATGTAATGATAAAAATTAAACTTTCATATATTTTAGATTCATTGCACACCAACTGAAATATTTCAGGTCTTTTATTGTTTTAATACTGATGATTTTGGCATACAGCTCATGAAAACCCAAAATTCCTGTCTCAAAAAATTAGCATATCATGAAAAGGGTCTCTAAACGAGCTATTAACCTAATCATCGGAATCAACTAATTAACTCTAAACACCTGCAAAAGATTCCTGAGGCTTTTAAAAACTCCCAGCCTGTTTCATTACTCAAAACCGCAATCATGGGTAAGACTGCCGACCTGACTGCTGTCCACAATAAAAGACCTGAAATATTTCAGTTGGTGTGCAATGAATCTAAAATATATGAAAGTTTAATTTTTATCATTACATTATGGAAAATAATGAACTTTATCACAATATGCTAATTTTTTGAGAAGGACCTGTATGTTTCTGAAGTTTCCTCTGATAACAGATCCCTGTAAACGGTGGCCTTCCGTTTTTGCTTATGTGTGATTATAAAACTGAAAAACTCCCAGTTAAGCTGTCAGCTTTTCACAGGCAAGTACTTTTGGCTTGGAAGTTAATTTACAAGCATAATTTTTCACCACATCATTATTACATATGGAATAATTATAATATTTTGTACAAGCATAAGAGTATATTTTTGAAAACTTGGTTTGACAAGGGTATCCTTTTGGTGGGACAGTTGTTGAATTGTCAAGGGTATTTGATGACTTATGATGAATTCCTTTCATACTTCAATTTCCCTGTTTCACCTAAAGAATTTGCCTCTGTACATGGTGCTATTTCTCCAGGTGTTGTCTCTTTATGTAGAGGTATTACATACTCTAAACGTGTGCCTGTACTGCATCTAGCTGATACGTTTTGTGGTAAAGTTTGTTTTTCGACAAGCAAAAACAATAAGGTTATTCATTCACTTTTTCAGAAAGAACTAGTTAGTAAACCACATACCATTTCCTATTGGTCAAGGTTTACTGGAACTTTGAATTGGAGTAAGATATGGCTGTTGCCTAATAAATATATCATTACAAATAAGGTCAAGGAAATTTCATTTAAGATATTGCACAAATTTTACCCTGCTAAACATTTTCTATCCAAATTTAACAAAGATATAGATCTAAATTGTTCATTTTGTTTTTTGCAACCAGAAACTGTACCTCATATTTTTTGGCACTATCAGTATACAAAGAGTTTATGGTGGGAAGTTTCTAAATTTATTAATGACAAATTGGACTGCAACTTCCTTTTGTTATATGAACATGTAATATTTGGTTTTGTCAAATATGAAAAAAGTATGGAAAATGAAGCGTATATTATTTATTCGGTGATTATATTTGTTAAGTTCCATATTCATTGGTGTAAATTTAGCAATCAGAAACCTCTTTTTTCTGTGGTATTGAAAGAATTAGAACACTATATGGTTTCTTTTAAGGACAGTACAAACAAAAAAGCTGTTAAAACTATTCATTTATTGAATACATTTATGATTTTGTGAATTGTCAAAGCCTTTTAATGTCTGTTTGGTTTATTATTCCGTTTTTTGTATCTTATATATTTTTGTATACTTGACCCTGGCCCTTTTATTTTTATTTTATTATTATTTATTTTATTTTATTTGTTCCAAGTTTTGTAACTGTTGTTCAAGCAATAAAAAAAAAAAAAACAATTCCTGTAAACTGTAACGTGGACTCGTGCACTTTCTGTAAAGCGGCTTTGAAATGATGTGTATTGTCAAAGCGCTATAGAAATAAATGTGAATTGAACTGAACAAATGATCATTCTGCCATCATCATCATCATCATCATATTAAAAAGACGCAGACATTTCTCAAAAATTAACTGAATGAATTTATATTTGTAAGTTCATGACACACATTAACATCACACAGAATATCATAATGAGAGATCATTTTCATGTTTAATGATTTGAAGAATTTTTAATGAATGGTTATTAAAACTGGAGTTGTCAAAAAGTACCGACTTCGATACTAAAATGTTAAGATTGTGCTGCTCTGAGCGGAACCGTAAACCCCTCTGATTGGCCGTTCAGTTCATGCCCTCAAAAGATATGTCTGTGATTGGCTACAAAACAGTCAGCACTTTTTGACACCACCATTTAAAACAGTCTTTTTGAAGAAGATTTCTTTCACACGATCGGGTCACATGATCGGGTCACATGATGGGCTCACTGTTGTGTGTCAACTATAGAGTTCGGCTGTAGTTTGGGAAACGCAGTCCTGTCGCACTTCAGAACTGACTTGGTCCCAAAGTCGGTACTTTTTGCCAACTCTATCTTGGTGTGTTCGAATCAGCTGCTGATTATTAGTGGAAGTGTGAAGTCAAGTTTACACAAGAGTAGAGAATCACATTAACATCCTCCACTCTCTAACACAAACACAACACTGACGGTCTCCAGCACCAGATCCACACCGGACCGTCTGCCGGGGGTCGTCCGCTGTCTGTCCGATCAGAAGTGTGTCTGTCTCCAGTATAAAAGCCTGTTCTGTGTCCACGAGTCCCTGTCGTGGTGTTCTCCGTCTTGTGTTGTGTGATTAGTGTTATTATAGAGACGGAGGAATATGAGCGCTGTCACTTTAAGGTCCAGTACACTGACACACACGAGGACAGAGAGCACAGTCTCTCACACTTGAATGTTTTAAAATCATATTGAACTGTTCACAGAGGAATCGATAAGAGGAACTGAAATTAAAATTGTAATTTTAGAGAGAGAGAGAGAGAGTGTGTGTGTGTGTGTGTGTGAGAGTGAGTGTGTGTGTAAGTGTGTGTGTGAGCTTGTAATATTTGCGAGAGAAACTCCTGGCCAACAGATGTCAGTCAGATCAGAAGTGTAAAGCCTCTCGCGGTGACGTTTCCCACTCCTCCTCCTAGCAGTCGAGCGTCCTCTGCTGGTTCTCCTGCTGCAGGAAGTACTCGCAGAACAGCTCGCGCACTTCCTGTGCGTCGGGGTCGTCGCTAGCGGGAGACACCTCGTCCGCGGGCTGCGGGCTCTCCTCGCTCCGCACCGCCTCCTCCCAGCGCGCGTCGAACGCGTCCCCGTGGAGCTCGCACACGTTGTGCAGGACGCAGCACGCCTCGATCATCGTGGGCACCACGTCCATGCGGCAGTCGTTACGCTTCAGCAGGCACTGCCAGCGCGCGCGGAGCCGCAGGAACGCTAGGTCCACCACGGCCCGCGCGCGCTCTAGCCGCCGGTTAAACGCGCGCTGCCCCGCCGTGAGCTCGAGCGACTCCGGGTGGCTCTTCATCAGCCAACACTTCAGCGGGAACCCGGCGTCGCCTAGCATCAGGTGTCCTAGCGGGCGGCCCATGAAGTCCAGCGGTGGGAGAAACCCGCGCTCGCAGCCGCGCGCCCACAGCGTCGAGTTCTGCAGGATCTCCGAGTGTTCGGTGCTGCCCGGGAACCCTGCGCACACGTCCCAGAACTGGCCCAGAGCATTGACGGCGCCCTGCGTGACAACCGATAGCCATCCGCGGCTGTTCCAGTAGTGCTGCGTGTCGCTGGACGGGGCGATGATGGGCACGTGGAGGCTACCGACGGCTCCGACACACCGCGGGAAACCCCAGCGCGTAGCGAACAGCCGAGCCGCGTCCTCCAGCTCCTGCTCGCTGGGCGAGCGCAGGTACAGCGGGCGTAGCATTAGCACGATGGCGTGGCACACGTCGCGCACGCACTTGCACACGGTGGAGCGGCCCACGCCGAACAGGCTGCTGATGGTGCGGTACTCCACGTTAGACGCCAGACGCCACAGCGCTACGGCTACGCGCTTCTCCAGCGGCAGCGCCGGGCGCAGGCGCGTGTCCTGGCGGGTTAGCCGCGGCTTCAGTTTCCCGCACAGCAGGAAGAACGTCTCTTTCGTCATGCGGAACTTCTCCAGCCAATCGGACGGCTGGAACTCCCTCATCACCACACGCTCCCACCAATCCGTGCTCTCGATGTTGCTCCACACGCGCGTGGGCCGCGCCGGCAGCTCCGCGACGGGACGCGACGTCTGAGCGATCAGCATCTGCGAGAGGAGAACATGTGTTACTGCTACTCCTGCATGAGGACACATCGAGCACACGAAGAACACGGAACATCAGAACCAATGATGACATCATCAGACATGAGATCATCAGTAGGGGTGCACGATTCAGAAAATGTCACGATTCGATACCGATTTTTTGTCTCAAGATTCGATTAAAAAAACGATTCGCAGTAGGCCTATATAAATGTAGTTTACTTTTTCCTATGTGATTGATTGCAGTAGACACAATTTAAAAGAAAAAAAAAACACAACAAATCTATGAATCGATTCTGAATCGGTAAAGATTGAATTGCAATTCAAATGTGAATCGATTTTTTTGCACACCCCTAACAGGGATGGAAATTAGCACCCGCCACCAGCCAAATGCGGGTGATTTTGTGTTGTGGCGGGTAAACTCGCTTCACCTACCGGCCACCGTGGCGGGTAAATAAAAATAGCATACTGTTTCACCCGGACGGCGGACACTTTAAGAGGAGGCACACCTTCAAACAAAAATGTGGCGTTACATCGCAGGCGTAGAGGTCTGCAGAGAAAACATCATGGTGCGTTCACACCAGACGAGAATAGAGCGTCTGGCGCGAGTGATTTCATTGTTAAGTCAATGCAAAGACGGCGCGAATGAGGTGTAGAGCGCGGCGCGGTAGATGCGAATACGCCTCATTCGCGCGGCAAGTTCGAGCGTCTGACGCGTTCCGCGCGCATGATTTTATTGAGTGCTTTTGTGCATTCACGCGTTTGACGCGAATTCGCGTCTGCCGCCCGAGTTGAAAAATCTGAACTTCAGCGTCAATTCGCGCCGCGTAAACCAATCAGGAGCCTAGCTGCTGTCACGTGGTGAAGTATCTGGACGCTTCAATAAATTATTTTGTACTAAATGTGGTTCTAATGCACAACAAAGCAAATATTTTATCACATAAAACTTGATTTCAATATATGAGACATATTCATTTTGTATTGAATGCTATTTATTCCATTTCATATCTAGATTATATTAAATATTATTCTAATGTAAAGGCAACCAACATACTATAGCTCATAAATCCGTGTCTGGAGAGTGTCGTGTGAGAGAGAAAAAAATCACAGGACAGGTTAATGACTTTTGGAGGCTGGCTCAATTTATCATCAAAACAAAAATAAATGACAGATTAGGTGGATGAGGCCGAGGGTGAGAGAAAGAGAAAATGTCAGTATTTCATTGAGACTTGAGATTAAATAAACTGCTTAAGTATTCTTGTAGTATTAATTTTCACATGCAGTTACACATTGTCGGTTAAAAACAAGAAAGTGGCTGGTAAAAACATTGAGTGGCTGGTAGATTTTGAAATCCACCAGCCACAGTGGCCAGTGGACAAAAACGTTAATTTCCATCCCTGACCCCTAATCATCAGATCCAGCTAAAGCTGCTCCGCTGGTGTGTGTGTGTGTGTGTGTGTGTGTGTGTGTGTGTGTGTGTGCCGCTGGACCGCAGACCCAGTCTCGAGTCACACAGGTGTATCTGTGGCTATAGCAACAACACTGCATGGCTCACAATTATAGATTTTTATTTTATGCCCAAAATCATTGGGATATTAAGTAAAGATCATATTTTGTAAATTTCCTACTAGGAGTGTAAATATTAATCGATTCGTATCGATGCATCGATTATACAGCCGATGATTCGATGCATCGATGCGTCTGCAAGAGTATCGATTAGTGTTTGTTTTGCCGCCTGTCTATTTTCAGCATCCGCTCATATGCGTACAAACGATTGTTGTTATGCACTGGGCTAACGTTAGTTAGTCACCGAACTAAACTGCCAGTGTGAATGCACCCTCAGTCACTTAGTTGGCGAATTCCAAACTAGCAGTTACTAACGTAAACAAACAGGCGCTAACGTGTACAAAAGGCTACTTCAACAGCTTACTTAAAAAGTCTAGGGTGCTTTCACACCAACTCGGAACGGGCACGGTTCGCATGAAAAATCACTAATTATGTAAACGCTGTCTGTCATGCGGACCCGGGTGCGCACTGGGGTACCGAACCCAAACCCGAGACTGCCTGGAGGAGGTGCGCTGAGTTCGGTTGCACTCGAACCGTGCCGCGGCTCGCGTGAATGTAAAAGCATCACGGACTCGGGTGCGCACTTGTTCAGGAAGTAAGTGACCTGCGCACGCTTTTTAGCTGATTATGATGTATTTAGTTAAATAAAACACATGTAAGGGATGATAGTGTTGATAATTTACCTTGGATAAGAGCGAGAGTGAGTCTGTATTCGCACACACATCGCGCGTGGACTCAGGGCAACAAATTAATGGAAATCCACTGTCTCCTGCGTTTGCAATCAGCAAAAAGCCAAATGCGACACACAGTAAACCGGTGTTGTTCACTCAGCTGTGCATAATAGCACCAAATAAAATAAAAAAACACAATATATTGACCCGCGTTCTGTTTTCTATCATGCGCCGTGCACGTTTGCGATGACGTAAGATGCACGGAAACGCACCAGGATTCGATAGAATCAAGTTTAGAACTGTATGCAGTAACTGTTATATTTGCTGTTCTATTTGCAGTGCATTGAGCACAACATACACATTATGTGAATAGAATACTGTTCCTGTATTCTCAATAAAAGGCAAATTATAAAAAAAAATTGTTCATTTATTTGAAACTTAATAGATATCATGTAAAAATATCGATTATCGAATCGAATCGTATCGCGGGGAATTCTGAAGTATCGAAAATAATCGAATCGTTGGCTTAAGAAATCGGTATCGTATCGAATCGTCATGTAGGCTCCGATTTACACCCCTATTTCCTACCGTAAATATATAAAACATTTATTTTAAGAAGTGAATGCAGCAAAATCATAAATGCACGACTTTAAAGGCGATTTTCTCAATGTTTCGATATTTCTACACACTCAGATTCCAGATCTTCAATAGTTGTATCGGCCAAATATTGTCCTGTCCTAACTAGGGCTGAACGATTACTTGCATTTGTGATAATATCGCGAAATGATGAAACGCGATTTTGTAAGCAAAAGCTGCGATTACACTGGTCACGTGACACGCGAGAGTCTGCAAGATCAAGCATCAACTTGGCACGCGACGTATATAGGTCTGGCATTCAGGAAAGAAGAGTTTATTTTTAATGTATGTGATATTGTGTTATTTATTCTCTCTCCAACAATTCTGGATCGATTCAGAGAATTTCAGAATCGAGTCTGAGCTTTTAAACACAGATGCGTGATGACGCTGCGCGTGCTTTAGAAACAACCGTATTCTGCTTGCTTCTAATTTCTCTCTCTCACACACACACACACACACACACACACACACACACGACACCGCTCGAACCTTCAGAAAAGTAATATTTCATAAAGTTCGGGGTTTAACCGAATTACAAGGACATTCGCGGGCTTCATCGCGCAGGTTTTGCCGCTTTGCTTGATGTTATATGGTTACTCCTGCAGTGCGCGGTCTCGCTGTGTAATTCAGTGGCAGTCTGCTAGTTTCCTCACGTATTTTATTGTTATATTCAGAAGACATAATCTATGTGCCTTTCAGTCATTATAACGTCTGCACACTGAGATTGACCTTCTCCGGCTACAGCTGAGTTCCCGCGGGACTTCAGCGCGAGACTACAGCTAGCCGTCTAAAACACTATTTAGGTGAATTTAAACAATGGCTAAGTCGCTAAACGCATCTTGTTGTCATGTAAGGGCCCTGTTCATGATGGACAGACATTTTAATTGCATTTTGTGTCTGTTGAGAGGCACAAAGACAGTCTTTATGAATCTGCCCCCATAGCTGCCGTTTTAGCTGAGTGGGAGCTCTGGGCATTAGCTTTAGAGGCTCCGTGTTGCAAACACCAATCCGGCTCCTTTTTCTCTCCCTATAGACAGTTCTCACAAAGGTATAACGATCAAGATTAACTTAAAAATTGCCTGAGTTCTCCTTTAAGCGGGCTTTGTGAAGAGCTCGTGCATGCGGCTGTGAGCGACTCATTGGTTAAATGTGCATCTCAAAATGCTTTTATGAAGCGAAATTAATGTAAACACGGTCAGTTATATCTTAAACCAACAGGACATTTACTAGCTTTTATATTTTAAAGCTATATTAGTTTATATGGCCTATTTAAAATTCTTAACATGTAATTGGTTTAATTAAATGTTTTTTTTATATATATATTTTTTTAAAGTATGTATTTTTACACATGTAATTAAATACATATTTTAAGTGTTATTAAGATTAATTAATAAGAAAAAAAGTAGATCGGATCATGAGCTGCCTAAAGATTCCCATCCCTACTACAATGATTTATTGCTTGTCTTTGTCGACTAATACAGAAGGTAAAGAACTTCAAAAGTAATCGCATATTAAATCGGAATCTTGTTAAAAAAAAAATCCGATTAGATTATTTTCCATAATCGTTCAGGCCTAGTCCTAACACACCCACGGAACGCTTATTTACTCAGCTTTCAGATTATGCATAAATTTAAAAAAATTGACCCATGTGGTTTAGTGGTCCAGGGTCACATTTATCATCTGCGATAATATCATAATAGTTGTTTTAACAATGTGTGATCTGACATTATCGAGTATACCCCTCACACACACACACACACACACACGCTGTGATGTAGTCTTGTAGATTACACTAGTGCGCATTCAGCTTTCACTGCGTTATTTAGTGTAATTTATCTCATTTCAAATAGTTAATAAATATCACACGAAGGGTGCAGTTTTTCTCCAGATATCAGCATGATAACAAATGTGATATTGATTTTATATCAATACAAGTTTAATAAACAACAAGTTAATATTAAGTGACTTACATTTTAGACACCATATTGCCTGTTTTTCTCTATTGGCCAACGGGAAAAGTTCAAAGACACACGGCGGGGTTTCGCTGAATACATAATCTCACTGCCATCTACTGGCGGGGTTAGTTTCACATCTAAAGTATCTATTACTGGTTTAAATCATTTCAAATATCAATATTCAAAGTTTTATGTTTGAACCATTATTCCTGCGTTTGTAACTGCAGGTTATTCATCACTTCTGATCAGCTTTTAACAGTAAACACATATAAAAGCCACTTCAGATGCAGATTCTGAGTTTCCTCTTCATTGCAAAGATTAATTTTGCTGGCCAGAAAGTGAGGCGAGTGCATGCGACAGAACTAGCGTTAGCCTTTAATAAACACATTACAGTTACACGCAGATCCTCCAGGACAAACATATCCCTATAGAAACTGTGTTCTTAATCCCAGTCGTTGTTTTAAAAGAATCATATTTTTTGCAGATATGTGATATTCTCTTTTTATATATTCTTTTTTTAATAGAGAGTGAAAATATCATCATATGATGCTGTTGTGTTTTACACAATTTTTAGGGCTGTTTATGACAGACATAAGCAAAGTAATTCCATATAGAGAACTCCCTCTAGGTGGCGCTGTGGTCAGTAATTCACTGAAGATGATAATAATAACTCACTATGATCATCCCTAACTTTATTAACTGCAGATATGATGATAATAATGATAATAATAACAACTCACTATGATCATCTCTAACTTTATTAACTGCAGATATGATGATAATAATGATAATAATAACAACTCACTATGATCATCTCTAACTTTATTAACTGCAGATATGATGATAATAATGATAATAATAACAACTCACTATGATCATCCCTAACTTTATTAACTGCAGATATGATAATAATGATAATAATAACAACTCACTATGATCATCCCTAACTTTATTAACTGCAGATATGATGATAATAATGATAATAATAACAACTCACTATGATCATCCCTAACTTTATTAACTGCAGATATGATGATAATAATGATAATAATAACAACTCACTATGATCATCCCTAACTTTATTAACTGCAGATACGATGATAATAATGATAATAATAACAACTCACTATGATCATCCCTAACTTTATTAACTGCAGATATGATGATAATAATGATAATAATAACAACTCACTATGATCATCTCTAACTTTATTAACTGCAGATATGATGATAATAATGATAATAATAACAACTCACTATGATCATCCCTAACTTTATTAACTGCAGATATGATGATAATAATGATAATAATAACAACTCACTATGATCATCCCTAACTTTATTAACTGCAGATATGATGATAATAATGATAATAATAACAACTCACTATGATCATCTCTAACTTTATTAACTGCAGATATGATGATAATAATGATAATAATAACAACTCACTATGATCATCCCTAACTTTATTAACTGCAGATATGATAATAATGATAATAATAACAACTCACTATGATCATCCCTAACTTTATTAACTGCAGATATGATGATAATAATGATAATAATAACAACTCACTATGATCATCCCTAACTTTATTAACTGCAGATATGATGATAATAATGATAATAATAACAACTCACTATGATCATCCCTAACTTTATTAACTGCAGATATGATGATAATAATGATAATAATAACAACTCACTATGATCATCCCTAACTTTATTAACTGCAGATATGATGATAATAATGATAATAATAACAACTCACTATGATCATCCCTAACTTTATTAACTGCAGATATGATAATAATGATAATAATAACAACTCACTATGATCATCCCTAACTTTATTAACTGCAGATATGATAATAATGATAATAATAACAACTCACTATGATCATCCCTAACTTTATTAACTGCAGATATGATGATAATAATGATAATAATAACAACTCACTATGATCATCCCTAACTTTATTAACTGCAGATATGATGATAATAATGATAATAATAACAACTCACTATGATCATCCCTAACTTTATTAACTGCAGATATGATGATAATAATGATAATAATAACAACTCACTATGATCATCCCTAACTTTATTAACTGCAGATATGATGATAATAATGATAATAATAACAACTCACTATGATCATCCCTAACTTTATTAACTGCAGATACGATGATAATAATGATAATAATAACTCACCATGATCATCCTCTTGTGTCTCTGGTGGAAATACTGCCTGCGCGCGACCCGCCGCTGAACCTCGTGCCTGCGCTGCGCGTTCGCGCTGGTGACGTCACGCCGCCGCTTCATCAGCACGTAACTGAGCGCCAACATGAGCGCGCGCAACGCCTCGTCATCGGCCATGTTCGCGCCTTTATTCTCCTCAGAAGAGCAAACTCCACTGATATACCGGTACTCGACGATCCGTCCAGTTACTCCGCGCACATGGTGTTAATCCACCGTTGTTAGACTGGACTCTGCAACATACACACACACACACACACACACACCTCGCGCTGCTTCCGCTGCTGCCGCTGTGTGTGACGTCACTCGACAGCAGTTCTTCTTCTTCTACTACTCGTTTTTTGGGGGTTCGCGCACATTCCGCGCATTAGCGCCACCTACTGTGAGCTCGATCCCGAGACTCTGACCCGTGAAAACAACTTTATAAACAATACACAATATATAAAAAAAAATATGTTCAATGTCATCTGAACATACAGGAGAAGAAAAAAAAGCTAACAATGATTTGCTAAACAAAAGAAAAATAACAAAGGAAAAATAGGAGACGATGAAAAAAGACCATGAAGATATTACTAAACACGTCAGTTAGAGTGAACAAATTAAAGTCATTACAAATTGAGTTTGTTTCACTTGCTTTTTTATTTACTGGGGATAACAATAGTGTTAAGATACATTTTAAATCCTTTCAACAAAAAAACAAGAAAAACTGGTTTGTCGTTGGTGAATTTACATTTATGTATATCAAATTTTCAAGCTTCAAAATCAAAGTATCCAAAAATAATGTCTTCAAAAGTTATGGATATCTTCCTGGATATTATCTTTAATAAATGTGTCAATATCTTTCCATAGTTGTTTAGTAGGCTATAGAAACATGACCAAAATAAATGATAAACAGTTTATATGTGAACATGAGCATCTTGTGTCAATGTTAATTTTATATTTAGGTAATCATAAAATATTCAAATGTACCTATTTATTATTTTGAAAGACACTTCCCAGCCAGCAATGACATGTGGGGCCCAGATGGGTTAAGTATGGGTCCCATGGTGACTGTGTGGGCATGGGCTTTGGCTGGCTGAAATCAGCGGGTCGGTCTTGTAGGTTTTGTAGTATGAGTCCCACATATGAGCTGATTACATGGGCCCCATAAGAGACAGGCATGGGCCAAGTAGGCATGGGTTTGAACTGGGAACACATATATGGGTCTTGAATGGCATATTTATGGGCCAAGTGGCCATGGGTTTGAACTGGGAATGCATATATGGGTCTTGAATGGTATATTTATGGGCCAAGTGGGCATGGGTTTGAACTGGGAACACATATATGGGTCTTGAATGGCATATTTATGGGCCAAGTGGCCATGGGTTTGAAATGGGAATGCATATATGGGTCTTGAATGGTATATTTATGGGCCAAGTGGCCATGGGTTTGAACTGGGAATGCATATATGGGTCTTGAATGGTATATTTATGGGCCAAGTGGGCATGGGTTTGAACTGGGAACACATATATGGGTCTTGAATGGCATATTTATGGGCCAAGTGGCCATGGGTTTGAACTGGGAACACATATATGGCTCTTGAACGGCATATTTATGGGGCAAGTGGGCATGGGTTTGAACTGGGAACGGATATATGGGTCTTGAATGGCATATTTATGGGCCAAGTGGGCATGGGTTTGAACTGGGAACGTATATATGGGTCTTGAATTGCATATTTATGGTCCAAGTGGCCATGGGTTTGAACTGGGAACGCATATATGGGTCTTGAATGGCATATTTATGGGCCAAGTGGGCATGGGTTTGAACTGGGAACGCATATATGGGTCTTGAATGGCATATTTATGGGCCAAGTGGGCATGCCATGGGTTTGAACTGGGAACACATATATGGGTCTTGAATGGCATATTTATGGGCCAAGTGGGCATGCCATGGGTTTGAACTGGGAACACATATATGGGTCTTGAATGGCATATTTATGGGCCAAGTGGGCAGTGGCGGCCTTAAGCATCTGGGGGCCCGTTTCAATAACTAATATGGGGCCCTACATAAAACATAAACATAATAGAGCAGAAAAAGCAAGGATTCCTGTTGGTTTGCATCAATGGTATACGTGCACTTTCAGCTTCATGAACAGGCAGCTCAACATAAACCTTATTTGATTAAAACTATATACAATTATATATCATGGAATAAGCCTCGCCCTTTCACGCAGGGTAACTTCACTTTTGGTAGACTGAATAAAGCTTTTCTTTTGTTGTCCGATATATTCGTTTTTCAGTTTCATTTCCTCTTAAAATTCTTTTTCTGCTCAAAATAACATTTTAACCTAACGGCAAAAAAGGCAAAGGTATAAATACATAAACTACCGATATTATTCAGATCGCTTAAGCCGTTGGCGGGAGTGGTAAACGGCGCCATGGTAACCGCGAGTTCTACCAATCAGACGTCAGTGTTTTGCAAATAACAAGGTTGATTTCGTAGCTTGTGGCTTTTAAAGGAGCAGAAACTTTCATTTCACAACCTCGTAGCTCGTGGTCAATCTACCTTGAATGGTTTAGACATTATGGCTGAAAATCAATATCCTATGGAGAAAATGAATGGGATTTTGCTGGTCTGTTGGGGCCCCCTTGGAGGGCGGGGCCCGTTTCAATTGAAACGGGTGAAACATAGGTAAGGCCGCCCCTGCAAGTGGGCATGCCATGGGTTTGAACTGGGAACGCATATATGGGTCTTGAATGGCATATTTATGGGCCAAGTGGCCATGGGTTTGAACTGGGAACACATATATGGGTCTTGAATGGCATATTTATGGGCAAAGTGGGCATGGGTTTGAACTGGGAACACATATATGGGTCTTGAATGGCATATTTATGGGCAAAGTGGGCATGGGTTTGATGTGGGAACACATATATGGGTCTTGCATTGCATATTTATGGGCAAAGTGGGCATGGGTTTGATCTGGCAACACATATATGGGTCCTGCATGGTGCATTTATGGGGAAAGTGGGCATGGGTTTGAACTGGGAACGCATATATGGGTCCTGCATGGTATATTTATGGGCCAAGTGGGCATGGGTTTGAACTGGGAACACATATATGGGTCTTGAATGGCATATTTATGGGCCAAGTGGCCATGGGTTTGAACTGGGAATGCATATATGGGTCTTGAATGGTATATTTATGGGCCAAGTGGCCATGGGTTTGAACTGGGAATGCATATATGGGTCTTGAATGGTATATTTATGGGCCAAGTGGGCATGGGTTTGAACTGGGAACACATATATGGGTCTTGAATGGCATATTTATGGGCCAAGTGGCCATGGGTTTGAACTGGGAACACATATATGGCTCTTGAACGGCATATTTATGGGGCAAGTGGGCATGGGTTTGAACTGGGAACGGATATATGGGTCTTGAATGGCATATTTATGGGCCAAGTGGGCATGGGTTTGAACTGGGAACGCATATATGGGTCTTGAATTGCATATTTATGGTCCAAGTGGCCATGGGTTTGAACTGGGAACGCATATATGGGTCTTGAATGGCATATTTATGGGCCAAGTGGGCATGGGTTTGAACTGGGAACGCATATATGGGTCTTGAATGGCATATTTATGGGCCAAGTGGGCATGCCATGGGTTTGAACTGGGAACACATATATGGGTCTTGAATGGCATATTTATGGGCCAAGTGGGCATGCCATGGGTTTGAACTGGGAACACATATATGGGTCTTGAATGGCATATTTATGGGCCAAGTGGGCAGTGGCGGCCTTAAGCATCTGGGGGCCCGTTTCAATAACTAATATGGGGCCCTACATAAAACATAAACATAATAGAGCAGAAAAAGCAAGGATTCCTGTTGGTTTGCATCAATGGTATACGTGCACTTTCAGCTTCATGAACAGGCAGCTCAACATAAACCTTATTTGATTAAAACTATATACAATTATATATCATGGAATAAGCCTCGCCCTTTCACGCAGGGTAACTTCACTTTTGGTAGACTGAATAAAGCTTTTCTTTTGTTGTCCGATATATTCGTTTTTCAGTTTCATTTCCTCTTAAAATTCTTTTTCTGCTCAAAATAACATTTTAACCTAACGGCAAAAAAGGCAAAGGTATAAATACATAAACTACCGATATTATTCAGATCGCTTAAGCCGTTGGCGGGAGTGGTAAACGGCGCCATGGTAACCGCGAGTTCTACCAATCAGACGTCAGTGTTTTGCAAATAACAAGGTTGATTTCGTAGCTTGTGGCTTTTAAAGGAGCAGAAACTTTCATTTCACAACCTCGTAGCTCGTGGTCAATCTACCTTGAATGGTTTAGACATTATGGCTGAAAATCAATATCCTATGGAGAAAATGAATGGGATTTTGCTGGTCTGTTGGGGCCCCCTTGGAGGGCGGGGCCCGTTTCAATTGAAACGGGTGAAACATAGGTAAGGCCGCCCCTGCAAGTGGGCATGCCATGGGTTTGAACTGGGAACGCATATATGGGTCTTGAATGGCATATTTATGGGCCAAGTGGCCATGGGTTTGAACTGGGAACACATATATGGGTCTTGAATGGCATATTTATGGGCAAAGTGGGCATGGGTTTGAACTGGGAACACATATATGGGTCTTGAATGGCATATTTATGGGCAAAGTGGGCATGGGTTTGATGTGGGAACACATATATGGGTCTTGCATTGCATATTTATGGGCAAAGTGGGCATGGGTTTGATCTGGCAACACATATATGGGTCCTGCATGGTGCATTTATGGGGAAAGTGGGCATGGGTTTGAACTGGGAACGCATATATGGGTCCTGCATGGCATATTAATGGGCAAAGTGGGCATGGGTTTGATCTGGGAACGCATATATGGGTCCTGCATGGTGCATTTATGAGCAAAGTGGGCATGGGTTTGATCTGGGAACACATATATGGGTCCTGCATAGCATATTAATGGGCCAAGTGGGCATGGGTTTGATCTGGGAACACATATATGGGTCCTGCATAGCATATTAATGGGCCAAGTGGGCATGGGTTTGATCTGGGAACACATATATGGGTCCTGTATAGCATATTAATGGGCCAAGTGGGCATGGGTTTGATCTGGGAACACATATATGGGTCCTGCATGGTGCATTTATGGGCAAAGTGGGCATGGGTTTGATCTGGGAACACATATATGGGTCCTGTATAGCATATTAATGGGCAAAGTGGGCATGGGTTTGATCTGGGAACGCATATATGGGTCCTGCACAGCATATTAATGGGCCAAGTGGGTATGGGTTTGATCTGGGAACACATATATGGG